AGAATAAACATAAACAAATGATAAGCCAAAGACAACAATTTACCAACTGGAGTAGATGCAAAATGAAGAAATCTAGATTTTCCCGTCTCATCTTATTTCTGAGATCCTTCAAAAAGTACTTCCACGATGCTTTGTTAAGTTTCCTCATCACTAAACTAGGGAGCTACCCACCTCCTGTAGAGCTCTTACTAAAAGAGCACAGGAAGTCCTTATCCACATGCCCTGTCCTCTCAAATCATATGTGACAAGACACGAGGATGTTTACCAGCTGTCTTACCTAAAAGCCTGCCCTTCTTCCTCTGCCTGTCTCTCCTAAACTCTTGTCATAAATATTAATCATATGAGTCAACTAAATGAATTCCCTCTCCCCAAAGCTCCTCTTAGAATATTATGATGTGAATCAGAAGAAGTAAAAGGTGAATATATTGATATATATTGTTAGTAATAGGAAGGGTGCAGATGAAAGGGTTAGCTTAACAGCCTTGCAAAAAGGCACAAGGAACCCAAAGGAAGAAACGAAGATCATTTTCACACCTTTCGTAATTGTATTACTCATCAGCCCTGTCTCTACAATGGCAATGGGCTAGAGAAACTGGGTGAGGAAGGAAGATGAAAGGCTGCTAAGTGACAATCCCAAGAGTAAGGCTGCCTGAGGAAATTCCAACCAGGTACTGCACATCCAAAGTGCACGTGCTGGATACAAGAATTCATTGGTTACTTTCTCATTAGGTCAGTTTAGTGCTGCCCCTATGACTTTTAAACCCTATTTTAATATAGGACAAGTTCAGTGTTTTCCTAGAGTGCAGGACTCCCCCATCGCTAAGATACAACCAGCCTTGTTCATTCCAACACTATACAGTGTGGCAATTTACATCTTAAACTCTAAAAACTTTGAGATTTGGGTTTTGAACTGACCTACAAATGTCCTAGATGTGAGAGGGTAAGCAAATGATTACGTTTCTTCTGATTTCTCATCTGAAAAGTGGGGACACAATTTAGAATTGTGGCAAGAAAACAATTAACTGCTATAGGTAAGCATCCTAAAAGGGTGCTAAGACCAAAGTTAGCTATCATTATCCTTACTATCATTCTATTTTAAGGCACTGTATATTTTCAATATAAGCAACCAATAAATAATTGGTGCTGGGCCCAGAATTCATCTGAGACACACTAATACACTACTTCATTGAAGCTGCTTATTTTGAAATTAGGCCAAACCCCTTGATATGGTGTGAAGGTCAAACCGGCCCTGAATTGGATAAAAGCTGCAAAAGGCAAGGAGTTTTCTGGGACATCCAGCCCAAAGCATCCATGATCTAGTGGAAAGAAGTTCAAGTTCCAAATGATCAACTTACATCATCAAGAATCAAGGGATTCATGACAAAAATAGCTCAAACTTTGGAATACAGTCCATTATTATTCCTGTAACAAATTAATATAGATTCTAGCCCCGGCTTATGCTAATTTAAAAATTGTGTTCAGTCCCCTGAGCACACACTATTTAACTAGACGACCAAAAGAAAGAATTTAGGTGTGTGCAAAAACTTAAGGAAAAGTATGCAGGGTAACAGGCAACTCTTGATGCAAAATGAATGCATGACGGGGATCAAAATTTCATAAAAATCTATGTGAAATACTTGGTATTTTTTGGCAGAAAGTATTTTAAATATAAATTTAAAATATCTTCACCATCATTTTCGAAGCAGCCTACAGTTTTCAACGATAATCACTTGATCCCTACTGAGCATTTTTTAAGGGGTCTGAAAATGAGTACTGCAATAAGTCGGGTGTTTTCTTTTTAAACATGATCATCATATTGTACACTTGATACTTATGCTGAGAGCTCGGATCTTCCTTTTCCCTAGTATAATTTTCAACTAAGCATTCCTTAGATACTTAGATCATTCTTAATGGAGATTGTGCATTATACCCTCTGTGGACTCATGGAAATCCAGCTAACTGGACTGACTTGATTACAGTAAGTGAATGAATTCTCCTATTTCCTTCCATTCTAATAAATGCTTAAGATACTTTCGTCACCTATTATGTAAGTTTTTTAGATTGCAGAAAACGTTCTAAAGCAGTGTTTATAGGAAACGGTTCTTTTATTCTTCACACCAAATAAATCCTTGTTTTCAAGCTACATTTCTTTGTTAGTATCAAAACAGAGTGTTCTAATAAAGTTTGGAATGAACCTGTAGCACAAATAACTATCATCCAAATTCTCGAGTAGCAACACTTGAACGTTAACTTTGCAATAAAGCATTTTGTTTCAGCGCCAGTATGCCCATCAAGATGGTACAGCCTTTAATGAAAGACTCATAAAGTGATGGAATATCAACTCCCCAAATCCACATATCTGAAAAATTAGAAATTATACTCATTTTGAAAGTATCTTGTTTGCTGTTAATTTTTGTATCTCAAAAATTCTTGCACATTTTTTCTTGACCAAAATAAATTGTCTAGCCAAAGATAGTTTAATATTTTCTAGGCACTACCATGAGGACCTTATTCTGATGGTTACTATCCCCATATATTATACCTGTCAAAATTCTTTAAACACTAATGAGTCACCTTGCCGAAAATAAACTCCATGCTTCCATTTGAAAATATGAAACTAACCACTGAGTGGGGAAAGTTTACCCTTAGTCCCAATGTAAATCAGGGAAGAGAGGAAGCTGAAAAGTATTCCAGCTACGTGCTTCAGTCACAAATATGCACTTGACCTCTCCTGCTCATGAACCACTCTTGAGATGAATTTTCCTACCGCCGCTAACAAGAAATTGTGGGGAAAGGGGGTGGGGTGAGGAGGAGGGTTAGGAAAAGGACGGCGTTTATCAAGTTCAGCCATTTCTTCTCAGGACATACCCCATCCCCCTCCAGATTACTCGTCCAGAAAGCTCCTTGAGAGTTGGCGCCTGAAAGGGTAGACTCTGGGAAGGCAGGTTTTTCTCCTGTCTTCACACCCCGGTGAAACCTTCTCCCTGCTACAAAGCAGTGTTGCTGCTCAGAAAAGCACAGCCCAGATACAGAAATCTGAAATTTCAAAAATGCGATAAAGCCCGAACCCGGCAGCCCTGGGAGGCGAGCAGCTGCCGGGTGACCGCTGCTGAACTGGCTTCTTAAGGAGGTGGGCAGATTGATTCCAGCTGCCGAGCGCGGGGCAGGGTAGCGGCCGCGGAATGCGCAGCCCGGCTGAGGCAGACAGCAGCAGCTTCCCAAGCAAGGGCAAGGCCAAATATTAGCTGTTTGCAGTCTTAGCCCGAGAGAAGCAAGAGAGTGCCATTGTTCCAACCACCGGGGACTTTGGGGCAGGTTGGGCCAAATGGTACTATTTGGACAGTGTCACTTCATAAGGGGAATGTGACTCTAGAAATCTGAAAGCTGTCCCCTGAGACGTCTGCTCGGAAAAGTTCGCATTTCCTAGGGCGAATCCTTCCTGCTTCGTTCTTGTTTTGCTTCCTCCAGCTTTCATTCTCCTAGAAGCTTTCAATCCACTTCTTTTAGCCATTGCGCCCCGCCGTTCTCCTCGGCCCGCCCCCTGCTACCGTCCGTACCCGAGAGAGTCCCGAAGCTCACAGGCAGAGAGGGCTGCGGAGGCGTGGGGACCGGAGAGCCCTGGGACTGGCCTGGGTGAGAACCTATGACAGAAGGCTCTTCAGGAGAGTTGGGCTCAAAGTGGGATAGTTTAGGAGTCCCCAGAGGGCCCCAAACTCAGACACTGAGTGATCTAAGAGGAGGGAAGGGGTAAGAGGTAGGCGGGCTTGAAGGCAAGCCTAATGGAATATTCAATATCCTGAGAAATGCACTTTCGGCCCTGTACTTCCAGAGACTAAAAGCCCGTAATGGGTTCTGGAGTCTGCACTTCCTCTCCCTAATGTCCAGGGGCGCTTTAAAGCTGCAGCCAATCGATCAGCCTTCTCCGGTGAAGACGGCGAAGGGAGTGCAAAAGCTTCCTGCTTGTGGTCAAAGTCCCCCCAGCCTCCACTGAACACCCCAAAGGAGCGACACGTAACTTTGAGCTGCCAGGATTTGGTTCTTAAAACGCCGGGAGGAAGAAAGGAAGGAGCCGGGAGGCGCCCAGAGAAACAGCCCGCCCCCTTTGCCTATCCCGACTTTTCCAGGAAGGGATTCACAACTAAGAAAAAACAGGGAGAGTGCACTACCCACGTTAGGGCAAGGCTGAGACTGCCCCTAATCGGCCTCAGGTACAAGGTCACCTGGCCACCTGCAAGCCCAGGGCAACCCAGAGAGCGTTACTTCTTGAAGAGACACCAGACAGAAAGGTGGGGTTTCTTTGCAATTTCTTGCTGACTTCACAGCTGCCTTGAATTTGACCCGGTGAATAAACCTCCCCCTCCCTCCGGTCCCAGGTTGGAGGCTGGAATCCCGCGGTGGTGACGAGCCCCTGTCCCGCCCCAGCCCCTGCCTCTGCCCCTGCGCGCTCCAAGCAGAGTTTGGGCTCCGGACCAGTTCAGCTCCTAAAACGAGCTCAACCCTACCCAGCCGCCCGGCGCCCCTCCCCGCGCGAAATCTCCGAGCCTGCCCCTCGGCCTGGGTCGCCTCTGGGAAGCTCTCCAGGCCCTGGGATGGGCAGGGTCCAGCCCCAGCGTGGTCGCCCCCGCCGAGGCGCACAAAGGATGGCCCGCACACTGGAGCCGGGGGCGGAGCGGCCAAGTTAGCCGGCGGGAGAAAACTTTCCGCGGTCCTCTCCCCACCCCCACGCCGCAGGGGCGCGACTCCCCCAGGAGCTCGCTTTCCCAGCCCGGCAGAGACAAGTACAGCACGTGATGGCAGAAATAAAAATAAACACTTCTCATTCCCCTGCGGCGGGGCCACCCCCACTCCGCGAGCCGCGGCGAGCAGGGGGCGCCCTGCGCCGAGCACCCCAGCCGCTCCGCCGCAGCCTCCGCCCCGGGCGGGCGCGAGCACAGACCCTGCGCCCGGCCCGCTGCCAGCAGCGGTGGCCTCCGCACGTCCCCGCCTCGCCCCGCGCCTACCTTTCAGATTTGGTGAACTTCCGGAATGCCTGTCGGAGGTCGTGGAAGGACCTGTACGTCTGCGGCTCGGCGGAGATGCCCTGCGCTCGGGTGGTCCGCGGGCCGATGTGGGTGGAGGGCACGGGCAGCACCGACTGGCATTTGTGGAGCTTCCTCTTGAGCTCCTGGATTTCCTCCTCCTTCTCTGACAGCCGCTTCTCCAGCTCTTTGATCCTCTCCTCCTTGAGCACGAGAATCTTAGCGAAGTCTTCCTCCAGCTCGCTCATTTTTCCCCTGAGCCCCTCTGCGAAACTTTTTCTCGGGCGTCGGTGGCGGCAGCGGGGACCGCAGCAGGGTGAGGAGGAGCGCGGCGCGCGGAGCGATGGGGTGCGAGGTCCCGGAGCGCGGCACAGCGCGGCCCCTAACGCGGTGCGAGGAGCCTCTCCTTCGATCCACTTCTGCTGAATGGACTAAAAGCGCCGAGGGGAGGATGAGGAGTCTAAAAGCGAGGGCGAGGACAGACAGAGTGCTAATCCCTAGCCTCTCCCGGGAGTAGGTGATTATCTTTCATTGAGAAACCAATTAGAGCTGCCCTTCCTCCCCTGAGACCCCCCTCCCTGCCCCTCTCCCAGTCTCTGCCTGAGAACACGCGCGCGCCACCCCACCGAGCGCCCAGTCTCCAGCCAAGGGGTGGATCCGTCTGGTCTCACTCCATCGCGCAAAACTCACTCTTCCATGCTATGTGGTACCAAAAGAAGGGAGTGGGATGGGTACGAGGGGGAGCTCTATGCCACTTGATCCTTGAAATACCAACAATTACCATGTGATCTGGTGGATGACGCAGGGCTTGTAACTGGATCCTAAAGTGTGTGTGTGTGTGTGTGTGTGTGTGTGTGTGTGTGATTTTGTAAATATTAAACTGCCTTAAGACAATATCCTGCACAAATTCATCTTTGTTTTTACTTTTTACTTCTTTGCTGCTCAGATGCCTAGGTGGATTCATAAAAGAGCAGCCATGTGTGTGCATGTGCGTGTGTGCATGTAAGGGTTTCTTAAGGTGAAGTCCTGACATTGGGGCCCTAGAAGAAGAATGACAGGACAATACCGATTCCAGGCTTTTCCAGTTTCAAACTTTACTAAAATTGTAAGCTACAGTTGTTGGAGAGGAAGTGAAATGAAGATATGGTAAGGAGTGAGTGTTTATCAGAAAGAGAAAGGCCGTGCATTGATTGCAAACGTGTGAGTATAAATTTTAGTTACTCTCCTACAGTTTCGTAGATTGAGCATCCAAATTGTATCACGTTGTTTTTCATGGTTGTGAAGGGGCTGCTGGGTGCTGAAGTGCTGGGTCATCCTACCCTAAGTTCCAGTTTAGGGGAGAAACTGCATCTGTAATCACCTGAGTGTCTCCCTTACCTCTGCATCCACCACCTACCCTATCCCTGCCAAGGGAGATTTCACCTGTTTGATCCCGAGTGTTTGCTAGTTCCTATGCTTTTAACATAGGTACTCTGTGTGCCACCGAGAGCATTTTTCTTAACATAAGACACTGTTTATGAGTTTATCTGGTGTTTAGGAGGGACATTTCTTCAGGTAATTATCAACAAATTAGTAAGGTTTTAAAAATAGATGCAACTAAGACATAAGGACTTTCTGAAATAGTAACTTTCTTTAAAAAGAATAGTCAATGTACAATTATTGGCTACTTACAAAAAATTGTTCTACCTGGTCTGAAACTACTAAGGAAAAACAAGCATATAATTTGGTTTATAAATGAATTCTAAAATGTATTTCATTTTGGAGATTTGTTTATTATTTACTGTTCTATTCATCTGATTAATTTATAATTACTATAAACTGCATCTGAATTTCTTTATGACTCCAGATATCCAAGTATGGCTACATGTGCTTACTCACATTAGGAGAAAGGGTTCTCTGTGTGTTTGGTGGTTACTGTTCCATTCCTTCTATCTATGGACAACTTAATCTGCTATAATGCTTTTAGAAACACTTTAATTGGCATTTTAAAATAGTGCATAAAAACTTTGATCGTATTCAAAAATTTAGAGCATAGTTTCAACTTTATTTTTGAAAAAGTGAAAATAGCTGTAAAATGACTCTTGAAAGGTTTTCCCAAGCCTTATATTATCTTAAATGAAAATATTCAAATGTTTCTCCTGCTATTAAAAAGAAATATTTAACCCAAGATTTCACTACTTACCACAAAACTTTAAATGCAACCCTATCTTCCAAAATAAAAAATATTTTTGAATAAGTCGGTTTTAATTTAAATAGGGTTGGTACCTGCTTATATTAAATCTTGGTTGTTGGCTTTAAAATATTTAATTTCAAACCCAAAGAAAGCTTGAGAAAAGGAAGCTAGTAGAATAATAAACACTGAGTCATTAAAAACCATAGTATAGGAGAGCTGAAGTGAACTTGGAAGATGATCTAACCCAACCACTTCATATTATCAAGCAGAAAAATGAGATCTTGAAGATAAAGTCCAAGATTATACAAGGGCAGAAGTTGAAATGCAAAACACCCAAAGCCCTGATGGTGCTTTCCCTACCATTCTATTCTAGCTTAAACCTGAACACCCAGAAACTCTAGGATCTTGCTGATCTAGTGCTCAAAGATGTGAAATTCCCCTCATTGCTTACTTCTAAATCTGTAGCACTGACACTGCCAGAGCGGAAATATTAATGAAACTTTAGACTTTTTTTTCTTAAAGAAGGTCGCCATCTAGTGCCCTTGGAGAAATTTGCTAAATAAAAATCTGAATCACAAAGAATCATTGAGGTTATGTCCTTAAATACCTGTAGCAGTGTTTTCATGTTTCATATATGAGAGAAATAATGAAGAATTTCATATCAGAGAAAACATTTTTAAAAAACTTGATGTCTTTTAGCCACTTCATAGTGATGACAGCAGTAATGCTAAATCAATTGTTTAATATGTGCCAGTACAGAGCTCAGCCCTTTATGTGACTGATTGGAACCCTTCTGATGACTTTGGAAGGTAAATACTATTACTCAGTTCCATTGTGCAGGTGAATGAATGCGCTTACCCAGCTTAGGTGTCTTTCCATGGTCACATTGGCCAGATTTGACCCCAGCTGTCTCAGCCCTTGTGCAGCCCTCCTTCCACCTGAAACGCATGAAACATGCACTTCTCTGCAATCCCAGTGACAAGCACGTTTTCGTTCACGGGGAACACCCTAAAGTTTAAAGTCCCATAAAAATTCAGGTAAATTCCTGAGATTCTGACTTACAAAAATCAATCATTTCACCCAAGTTTGTTTTCCTTGTCATACTTTGAGATGTATTATACATTTCATGTATAATTTCAAATGTTTCTTACATTAAAAAAGAATATGTGCTTTCAAATATTTGACTGTGCTTTGTCCCACTTTCCTCTCTCCTCTCTAATAAGAAGTACTTTCTAAAGAACCTGAAAGTTAAATATGTAAGAAGTGCTTAGAGGAATCCTATCCTTTAATCTAGGTCTGTATTGTAGAGGATAATGGCTATTTTAAAAATTTAAAATAATCATAAAGCTGGCTAAAGTCAGTCTGATTTTTATTATCTGTATTTTCTAGACTATATAAATAATGCCAGTGAAAATAGATTCTGCTGTGACTTAGATTTGCATTGTCCCCCCAAAGCCTCCTGTGTTTAAAAGATAATTGGATCATGGGGTGATGTACTCATCAGTGAATTAGCCCATGGATGAATCCACAGCTGAATGTGCTGTTAGGAGGCAGAGCCTAGTCAGATGAAGTTCACTGGGTGTGTGACCTAGAAGGAGGTATCTTCCCTCCCCTGCTCCTCCGTTCTCTCTCTGCTTCCTGACTGTCATGACAAGGGCAACTTTCCTCCACCCAGACCCTTGCACCATGCCACTTCTGTGCTGGAGTTGTTGGTCAGGAATGAAACTTCTGAAACTCTGAGTCAAAATAAACCTCTCTTTCTTTAAGTTGTGGATGTTAGTTGTGACACTGACAGAATAGTAAACTAAAATGGAATCTAGTTGGTCCTATAAAGATTAAAGTATAATTTTTTGGATAGTTTAGAATATTTTCAGTTCATTCTACATCATACTAGATGTGGCTTCAACATTTTGTTACTGTTCTGATTGCCCTATTCTGGTGATCATAAATTGTGGTCTTATCTTAGGCAAGACAAAAGTCTACTAACGTCCAATAACACACCCACATCTTCATTAACCACCACATAGAACATGAAAATAGCAAATTCCCTGAATGAAACACACTTCAAACTTTGTTATCTTACATTTACTAAATTTACATAAAGAATCAAAATAATCATAATTTTTCAAAATGTCTCCACACCAAAGTATATGTAAATGCTGTTCACAAGATAATCCTATTGATGTAAAAAATTTCTTATGATGCATATAATAGGAAGACCATTTTCTCTTATGATTTTCTGTGATATCTCTGTATAGATTGAAAAAAATACCATCCTATAAAATTTGAAACATAAAACTGATCTAAGAAACAGGCACACAATGTATTGTAGAGCTCAAATTCAGTTTATTAAAAATCTTGGACTTGGAATATGTACCCAAAGAAGTCATGTGACTTGAGGCTAATAATTTCATCTCCCCAAACGTCAGTTATCCCAATTATAAAGTGAAGATATGGATACTAAATTCTTCTGCACCCAAATCCTCAAAGATGAAAGAAAAATCTCATCATTTAAATGTAACCCATACAAATAAATCAAAATGGTAATGTAGTCCTGCACTGTTGACTTTGGTGGGAGGACGGCTTAGTTGGAGAAGAGCGTAGGAGATAGGGACAGCTTTGGTGATGGTGGTGGGACTGATCATGCTGCATTCATGCCCCCAAAGCTTCCACCCACCCACTGTGCATGTATCTTCTCCCATTTATTCAAAGGCTAATTGAGGTGCTCTCAGGAAGGGAGTTTTCCAGATATAATTAGCATCCCAAGTCCTTAGACTTTAAGATCATTATCTAGGTCGGCCTGGCCTAATCAGTTGAGGCCTTCAGCAGGATTGGCCTCTTTCTGAGGCAAGAATTCCAGTGTGACTAGGATGTGACCCAGAAGAGATTCTCTGGCTTTAAAGATGGAGACGATCACATGGCAAGCAATCCAGTTCCAATCTAGGGGCTTACAGAGACAGCCAGCAAAGGAAATGGGGACCTCAGTCCTACAACCACTAGGAATTGAATTCCATCTCAACTACATAAGTTGAAAAGAGGCCATTGAGTTTCAGAGAAAAATGCAGCATGGCTGACACCTGGGTTGCAACTTGGCAAGACTCTGAGTAAAGAATCCAACCACGTTGTGCCCAGTCTTCTCACTTCCAGAACTGTAATTAGGAGGCATTGATTTAAGTATCTAAGTTTGTGGAAATTTATTAGGCAACTAATAAACTACTCAACTACCATTAAAAGTGAAATTTATTTAAAATGCCGGACATGTTTTATCATTCTCAGAGGCCTGATTTTCCCAAAGAGTCATTTTCAGTGAAATTATAATGCATTTCAAATGAATACTTGAGGACATAAATGGTAACTATAAATTATGAGCTGCCAGCAGGGGTGGCAAACCTATGGCATGCATCCTACAATGGGCTGTTTGTTATCATTGAAAGCTCTAAAAGGTTCGCCATCCCCGTGCTAAAGCATAGTGATGACAATACAGATAGCTTGGTTTTTGGGGGTTTTTTTTGGTACCTGGGATTGAACTCGGGTCCTTGCGCTTGCGCAGCAGGCGGCGAAACCGCTAAGCTAAATCCCTGGCCACAAATAGCTTTTTGAGTATGTCAAACTGTCTTCCATAAAAGATGCTTATCTTTAAAGTTGTAGATTATTCTGACTGACACTTAAATTCTCCAAATCGCAGGTCCTAAAAAGGATTGAATCTGTTCATTAAATTACTCCAGGGCAGAAATATAACTGTAATTTATCTTGTGAAGTGAATTAGCTCTGTGATCTTAGGCAAATTATTTAGTGCACTGAGCTTTGGTACTATCATCTGTAAAATATCAACAACTTTCTTTAGTAGTATTATTTACTTTTTGTAAAGGGTGCAGTGCTTGGAATATATTTAAAGACTCTTGGATTATTATCACTTAACTGTATTTCCATAGTTATACATGAAATTTTAGTCATTACCTCCCAAGTTCAAATGCGAATGTCAGACGTTTGAGAAAAGTAGAAAAAGACTACAAGTTTTTTTTTCAAGTTTAGTTTTTATTTGATTTGACTTTTTTGGTTGATTTTTTAAATGAGGGAAATTTGACTAATTTGCTTGAAACTTTTAAAAATAAATTCTTTTTAATAGTAAATACACATACATGTGACAGAATTTAAAAAGCGCCAAAGAACATGCAATGAAAGGTAAGTTTCCCACTCATCGCTGTTCCCCTCAACCACTGACTAGTACCATTTTCTTGGGTATCTCTCAGAAAATATTCTGTTTATTAGTAAATTTATTTGTCTATAAACACACATATTTCAGAAGTAAGATTTAATACCTGGTGTGTGTGCTAGCCTATTACAGTACCTAACTTAGAGCTATTATTTCCTGATTTTCAGGATTGTTAGTCAAATGCAACATGTCACATTGCCCCACTTTGTGACAAAATGCTCAGTAACAAGGCAGGAGCATTGCTGAATTTAGAGAGTGTGGGCCTTTGCCTCACCTAGACATCATTTATAGATTTTTCCTTTCCTTTTAAGAAAGACAGGTATTTCTTATGTATTCAATAACTTCAGAATGTCATGGTATTTTAAGAACAAAAAACAAACATGACCAAGTATGTATTTTTTAAGGATATTATGAAATAACTTTTGATTTTAGTCCTTCCAACCTGTTTTTTGTTCACAGAGACATTCATGTGTGCATCTCTCAGAGTATTTCAAATTAACGCTTTCTGTGTAAAAATGTTAAACCGTTCC